GAAAACTGGTCACATAGATGAATTGCGTAAAGTGGATTAAAATAAAGGTCAGCCCTGATTATTGTAAATAACAAGCTGATGCAGAACATCTGTAATAGTCAGCTAGAGCTCGAACAATAGATTTAAAAAAAAATGTTAGCAGCACTTGGGGAAAAAAAACATCTACTGTGATGTAACACCCACAAACACTGGCACAAAGAGAGGTCATTCCAGGTTGAATGCAGCATTCGTCAGCTTTAAAAGAAGTCTGGCAGTCAGCACTTCAGCGATAATACAACAAACAGCTGTGAGCTTAAGCTACAGGCACGCCTAAAAAGATAACTGGAAAAACTGATTTAAGACATCAGCAGAGGCTGAACACGCAGAGGCTGAATGCAGACAAAATAAAGAACCAACTCTTAGATGTTGAAATAAACACACACAAATATGGAGCCCAAACGTTTAAATATTAGCAGAGTATCTGTACTTAAATATTACTGCAATGTATTCCCATATTTGTGTGTTACATAGACTTCAAAGTTTGATGTTGATAGAACAACGTGTTGGTAAAACACGAAGAGCAGTCTGTTGACTGAACATAAAGTATGCTGATGGTGGCTTGATTCATATCTCTTAGACAGCAAAGCTGAATGAGTGGGAATATCAGGGACCATAATGGCACAAAGTTTGAGGCAAATCCATGCTAGTACACGAGGCTCTCAGATGCACCTAGCCTCCCTGGTTACCCCTCCACTTTAGAGATAAATAACAGTGTTTCTAGCCAGCTGAAAGCACTATATTTTAGCAGGAGCACAGGTACAATTTGTGTACGGACAATGTGAGTGTAAGTCTTCCGCAGTTTGAGGACTATTGAAAAACCTGACAGGAAGCAGTGGAAGCTCTGAGGTGACATCACAGCCCTGGACTGGGATTCACAGCAGGCTATTAGAAGAGGAGGGAGTAGACGTCCCACAGCACCGACTGTAAATCTAAGGGTGTGGGGGAGTCTGCAAACCAAAGAGGAGTTGAATAACTCTAGACTTTAGTTTTTACAGTTTTCTTCTTCTCCCCAGTGCGCTAACCCACAAAGTAACTCCTGGGGTTTCCAACAGTCCACAACATTAGAAATTAATTAGAATTAAACATTTTCAAAATAAGGGATTATTTTGAAGAAGCATAATGGATCTGCTGTAGAGAGCAAAGTAAAAAAGTTTTCCGATGGCTCCTTGTTTCCTGGTGGATGGATACTAAGAAGTGTAATTAACAATATTTAACCAAGTGCAGTGCATAAAGATAGCTGTTTAATTTCTTACACTTTTGTAAAACAAAAAATAATCTGCCAGATGTTTAAAATGAGTGTTGCCCTCACTGCAGCATGATTATGTCTAGTTTTGGGAAATCGGAAGTCATTCTATTGAACAATGCTCAGTCTCGTCTCGAGGCTTATAGACGCAGGATCTCCACAGGCTGATGTTTGCTTCCAGGATCAAATCCTGTCTCAGTCATGTCCTGAAGGTCCTGTAGAGAAGTTGATATAAAATGTTTAGAGAACTGCGTAGCGACCTACATTCACACATTATCGTCGTCTCCCTGCCACAGACTCAATTTTGGTAAAAAGAGCAGCTTTACATTTTTACTAAAACACATCCACACGTTCGTTCTCTCTGCAGCCCCCAACACCCTTTTTCTTTTCTGACAAGAGATGACTATCCACACAGCTGGGGAGAGAGGGAGGAAGTGTAAATCATATCAAGGAATCTGTCTCTGGGAATCCACGAAAAATCTGTGGAAGACAGTAGGGGATTGGGTCAGAGGCGTGTGTGTGTTGTTCAAAGAAACGAATGGATGCCCAGCCATGCACTGGCAGCTTGACTGACCAGGCTGCTGAGACAGCTGGTGTGTAGACAACAGCGAGGCTGTCTTCAGCATGCGGTTACGATACAACTAAACCTTGAAGCATCAAATCCGTCTGTCTTCATGTGCCCACTGGGGTAACGACCCTACAGTCACTGCACAACTTTGCTGAATCCTAATTTCTCTCTGATGTTCTCTCTGAAATATGTTTTGGGGGATTAACAAACTGCTGTGAGGAGAAGTTGGCTGAATACTGGTGATTTGAATTAATTCTCGCTTAAAGAGGACCAATCTTCTGATGATTACTGATTGGGAACTGAATGGGACTAACAATGTTTGTATTGTTTTCTTTGTGTTCTTCCTGATTGTTTTAATGTTTTCTTCTCATTAGTTACACCATTTAGTAACATCTAAATAAGTAAGTAACTTTCTTGATGAATTTTCGGGGTTCAAAGCTTCTTAGAGGTTGAAAGCTTCCATGGATGCGAGATTCGGAGTCTATTTTGGAGAATTAACTTACTTCGTAAGTAATGAACAAATACTGTGGAATGCACCCTGTTCCTTGCAAACATTCCCAGTGTTGAAAAAATGGCCCAAAATTCCTTCTTTTTTTAAAAAAAATCATTTTTGTTGCCACATTTCAAGGAAAAGGTCCAATAAGCATTAGAAGTTACAGTTTTATCTTTACTGCCTTACCAGTCTTACGTTAAAAAATTTAACCATGTTTGTTTATTTAAAGATTTTTTTTGAGAGGCATGTTTTTAATTAGCTTTTTCCTGTTTCTCTGCCTTCTCTGATTCGTTAAGCTGTAAAACACATTAACAGCACTTTATCTTTACTGCTGTTACCTTCACTTGTGCAACTCTTCACCTGGATTTTTGTGAAAAGCACTATTTACCAAATCTAACCAAAGTTTACCTTTTAATGCCGAACAAGAGGCACACACAAAAAAACCGAACTACTGCAGTGTGATTCTTTTTATTACTGCAACAGAAGCACAAAATAAAAATCTCAGTCAAAGCACTTGAAGCTACACCAAAGTGATATTTGGGGCAGAGCTGTTGTGCTGGATTACATCAGCTTCAGGAGTGTAGTGTAGCATAAACACATACTCTGTTAAGAAACTGAAGTGTTTTGTACAAATCCCTTGAGACATTTATGCACAATTTAGAAGGTAAAAGTCTATTGTAAGGTTTTGTCTTGCTTATTTTCTCCTCTACTGCGTGATCTTATTTCCAAATGTACAGGGAGCAGGCAGCCATTAACCCACCAGAAATGCGAAGTAGCTTTTTACAGCTAAACTGGTGTGAACGAGCTCAGTCACAGGGTGCTGTTGCACCACAGTTAGCTGTGTGGCTGCGCTGGAGAATGGATTACAGCCCATTTCCAGTCTTGCGTATTGCCACAAAAGCAAAGTCCGTAAAGAGTAGATACCAACCAATGTTCCCTTAACCTCACCTCATCGTGGCCTGGAACAGCAGCCTAACTCTAACTTAACCCTAAGCTTACAAAACATATCCGTACCCGACAGTGTGAACGGGAAGTGGTCTTGTCATGTATTATAGTCTCCTGGAAAACAGCACCTGCTGGGGAAAGTGGTTTACCCTTTAAGTGCAGGAGAAAAACACACTGGCTTGTATTTTTTAAAAACAATCTCTCGTGAGGAACACTTAGCTCGGGACGCACTGAAACTTGTTTTGGTGAAACATTTGCACACAGGGAGGTGGGTGCTGTCATGAAATGGCTAATGCCTATCAATAGAGAAAAACATAAAAACTGTAAAAGACATTCACAGTCCAGGCTGCCTGAAAGAGCATTGTTGTTTTTAATATTCTGAATATTGTAACGTGCAAATATAGGTTTAGATAAAAGTTCTTCCCTTTAAAAAATACAATATATTTCTCCTAAATGCAGAGCATGTGTCTTGTATTGCTCTTGTTATAGTTGCGTAACTGTTAGGTTATCATGTCTACTCTACAGTCATGATCTCTCTATTTAGTTTTGTAGAAAGGACAGAGTTTGACAATCATCTCGCAGAATAACAATAGAACAGCAATTACACAAAGCTATGTGTCGAACAAGCCTGAAAAATCCAGGCCAACGTGTTTATGGACTGTTAACGTGCTGTATGTGTGTCAGTCACCTTGTTGACGCAGAGGGCGGCGAAGTCGCTCTGCTGGGTTTCTCTTGTTGTTGTGTTTGAGGCTCGCAACCTTGTTAACAGCAGGGGCTGGAAAAATAGCAGCTTTAATATCTGTGCCTGAGAGATAAACTGGCCTCTCTGCTTTCACACATCTTTTATGGAAATGACCTGTATACAACACACCGAATAAAACTAATCTTTATGATGCATGTGTTGCCTTTCATTATTACACATTGATTTGGTACACCTCCTTTGCGTCCAACTGCAATTCTCACTGCATTAAAGACTTTTGGTGTTTGAGGGTGATTGATTTTTTTTTTTTTTTTTTTGTCAGAGCAGAAACAACCTCGTGGGTTTATAAGTGTAAACAGCGGTGTTGTTTTCTTGTTTACAAGTGTCACTCTGTGTTTTATAGCCCATTCTTTTGTTAGCTTTGAAGCTTTGTATACAGCCTTGTAAAGCTGCTTCCTTTCTGTCCTAGATGTCGACACTGGAGCAGGAAGGGGAGGAGGTGGTGGGACAGGCTCGATGTCCCTTCGAGTCCCGCCAGTCCAATGTCGGCCTTTTCGCAGGTAAGTAGTGACCCAGATGATGTTCAAACTTGAAATCTCACAGGTTCAGGTTTCTCACTGCTGATGATCTGTGCTGTGACATTTTTATTATATAGGTCAGGCTTGGAGTAATGTTTTTTTTTTTCTCTTTTTAATCAAACTAGCGTTTATTAAATGAACTTGAAGTCGGGTAAAACGATGTTCGTGGTGGACTATATTCAGATGAAGTCACATATATTTTGCCTGTTTTGTTTTTTATATTAACCTTGTGAAAAGATGTTATATATGTATTAGAATGAGGTGGAACAATAGGAAAATGACGTTCATCTTTCAGAAACAGAAGAGGATGGTTTGCTAAAAGCAAGTAGCTGTTACATATAAAGAACCATTTCTAATCAATAGGCTTAAACGTGTAACTGCACTTGGTGTTCTGTCTCTGACGTGGTAATTGGATACTAAGATAATAATATATAATCTGCTAAACTGCATGTTAACTTCAATTAGTGCCTCATTGCAAGTGTGTCTCAGTAAGAGTCTGAGCTAAAAGCCTGAAATGTCGATATAATTGAGTATCTTGGCATAAATCATCAGATGGTATAATCTGAAGTTTCCCCTTCACAGATCCCGGTTTGCGGTTAGATTTACTGCTTTATGAACATAGCAGTGAAGCGAGTTGATACATTGTGAACCCATCAGGGTCAAGTTCAGGGAAGAGAGAGCCAAACGTACACTCAATCCTGCCAGGTTTCCACTGACATTTATGCAAAGTTCACACAGGCTGTTATTAAGGCTCGCGTAGTCTCCTACAACTGCTCTCCTTAGCCTCCTTTTAAAGAGGAATAAAAGTCACCTGTGACCAAAATAGACACTTAAGAGAAGTGGGTTAGTGGGAATTGTGATCCTTGACTGTAGTTCTCAATAACTTTTTTTCCTTTTTCTCAGGTGGTGATTTCTACTCTGCCACCATGACTGACTTCTTGGCAAGTGACGCAGTTATTTACAGAAGTTTGGGTGAAAGCAGCCCTGTGCTGCGTACAGTGAAGTATGACTCCAAATGGCTGCGAGGTGAGAAGCCAATG